CGGTTGGTGCATCCCCACTGCCTGGCTTGGGTCCTAAGGACGATGAACTCGTTTGGTTGGACACACTTGCTGATATGGCTAGGAGCCGGCCCCAATGACGTTTGTGTTGTGCGTTCCTTTGTCCACCCCCCTCCTGCTTAGCCTCCCCCTGCAATCACGGTCTGATTCGTTAGGCGTAATATAACTCTTTTTGTGGTACGATAGCCGGCTGTTAGCTCTCCGGAACGATGTCCATCCGTTGCTGGGGACTCGACCGGCGTGTCTCTCTTGTATTTTTCTTCTTGTCTTTTATTGCGGTACAATAGCTGAGGTGTTTTCCATCTGTAGTTAACGTGTATAGTGATGATGATGAATAGCCTTCAGAACCAGTCTCGGCATCCTCTTTGGAGTTTTTGGTAAAGATATACTGGTTTCGAGCTTGGCCTGATTGCTGTTATAATCTTCACACTAGATGCGATTCGGAAATTGGCACTTTACTGCTCTACAAAACCTTAGTCTAACCGAAGAAAAAGGCAGATCACCAATGATCTTGACAAAATAACCTGTTAACCGCCGGCAACAAAACACTGTACAACTGCCGCGAACCTTGGCTGCGTTTGTAGGCCTCTTACTGACCAACTTCCGGAATTGGAAGGTCAACTACTAAGTTTAGTGGTTCCCCATAGATTTGGCCGACATGTCAGGTGGTTGGTCGTCACGTGCAGAACTTAGAACATTCCAGAACGTTCGAAATCGATGCGATGGTCGCTAATAATCGATTAACCGCTAAAATAGTGGATTTTAAAGGCTATTCTCACTTTCTCCCGGATACCACCCCTCCTGAGAAATTGTCCGAGGTATATGATGAAAGCCTAATAATAATAATAATGTGTCCACTGTACACCGTAACGGCGCTTCGCTGCCGCGCGACCACCACCAGTCGCGCGTGGGCTGAGTATACCGCGAGGACGCCCACCCCTACGCGGATTCGTACCGGTGACCTTATGGTTGCAAAGCAAACGTGCAGACCACTCGGCCACCGGCCGATTAATAAAAGCCTAGGATTAACGTAATCTTCAGGACGGTTTTCTCTGCCTGTCGGTCCATCTCCTTGGCAGATGTGCCTGAGAACTGGGTTCCGATGTCCATGATCCTGGATTCCTTACTCAACTGTGAGCAGTCGTCTACGGCTTTCTTCGGCAATTTGTAGCTTTCCACTAATAAGTCGAATGGGAGATTGGTAGGCCTTGTTTGTTCTGGTTGGCACAGTGTTCACCTTAACTGATTTGTATGTCGTGCCCAGCTCTTAGCGCCCACGATCACGTCATACATGATATTTCCGCGCTTGTCTTTGACCGTCCCTTTCGCCCACTTCGCGTGGCCTTCCTGATAGTCGCGTACTAGCACTTTATGGCCAAGTGTCAACGATCGTCTCTTTGCTCCATGCATTCGGCTAAAATCCTGTTCCATTCTGCGGTTCATTTCACAAACAGAGGATTCCGAGCGTTGTCGGATGGCGTCGAGAGGCATGCGGAGCTTCCGGTTCATCACAGCTTGTGCTGGAGAAACTCCGTCCGGTGCTTGTGGATTCGGTGTTGATCGGTAGAGGAAAAGGAACCGGTCAACCGCCTCGCTCGGACAACGAAATTTCCAACCGAGCGAAAGTGCCTCGTAATAATACCTGTCAGCTAGAACTGTCAGTCCAGCTTAAAAATGCACATTCCCAAGTTGCTATACTTACATCTTCGTCAGCGTTAGCTGCTGAGCATTTTAAATCCACTGTGGTCAATACATGCTATCAGTACCTGAAGCACAAACTTAGTCAGATTTTTATTGACGAACACGCACTTAGACGGTTAAACGGAACGAGAATATACTTCTCTCTAGGCCGGATAAAGGAGCAGGGATTGTCCTTATACATAAATCTGACTATATCACTGCCATATCATTGCCATCCTCAACGATCATTTAAAATTCAGGATGATAGAGAAAGAGAAAAACAAAACGCCCTCGATAGTAAAGATAGTCACAAAACTACTACACTGCCTGAATCATGAGAATACGATTGACTCAGTGGTGTTCGAGTACACGCGTCCATCCGGGACAGTGATTCCACGTCTTTATGGCTTACCGAAAGTGCATAAAGAAGGACTTCACTTGAAGCCAATATTAGACATGTATGACTCTCCATATCACGCAACAGCGAAATCGCTCGCAAAGCTTTTAGAACCAACCAGAATAGTCCTATCAAAACACTGCTTCAGAGATATATTCAGCTTCGTAGACTCCATAAGCCATATGCAGTTAACCGGCAGTAAAATGTTTTCTCTAAATGTAATGTCGCTCTTCACCAATGTTCCGCTGGAGGAGACGATAGACTACCTAGGCGATGCTGTTCAGTTGCACCATGTGGATGTCGGCCTCTCGAATGAGCGACTTAAACAGTTACTTCTGATGTGTACCAGGAACCTACGATTCCTGTTCGACGGGTAGATCTACTGACAGTAGACCGGAGCCGCAATGGGCTTCCCTTTAGGACCACTGTTAGTAGGCGTATTTATGAGTAAGTTAGAGAACAACTATCTGAACGGTTACCGACAAATTAGTCTACTACGGACGGTACGTGGGCGATATATTCTGCATCTCAGATAGTCATCTTTGCATGGATGAATTAATGAGGCAATTTAACTCGGCCCACGCAAACAGAAAATTCACCCTTAAATCTGAGTGCAACAACTCAATGTCATACTTAGACGTTCAGGTTAGCCGAACATCTGACAGGTCTGTTTAGCGCAGTGTCCACAGAAAAACAAAGTGGAACGGGCAATATACTCATTTTGCCAGCTTCGTTCCGCTCAGCCAGAAACGGAAACTTGTTCGGTGCCTAACCGAGCGAACAAGAAGGATATGTAGCGAGGACATGCTTCCGGACGAGCTAAACTTTGTACGAAGCCTATTCGATAGAAATGACTATCCGGAGACGTGCGTTCGGCGAAGCATGGAGGTACGAGAAGCGAAGGCAAAAGTGGATTCAGTATGAAAGTAACCGGTCTACTTATCGTTACCGTTCAAGGGGACGGGATAGCTGAATCGACGTCTAGAAGGCTTTCTGACGCCATCGCTCAGACGTACTACGCAGCAAGCCTACGGCTATGCTTCTACTCAGTGCCGACCCTGAATCAACAACTTAAGGACAGAATTCCAAGGTTAAATACTTTTTTCTGTGTATACTCTTTCTCTTGCTCCTGTCGATCAAGATATACCGGAAGAACTACCAGGAGACTGTCCGAGAGAGCCAGGGAACACTATTCACCTTGGCTGTATAGCGGCGTGACTAGATCAGTGGCAAGTGCAGTGTCTACACACCTGGTCGACTAGAGCCACCAGGTCAGAGTGCATGAGGCTTTCCAGCCCATCTACCGCATACCCAGATGCCACACAAGAGCGGTTAGGTGTCGTCTACTGTCAGCGGCCGAGGCAATAGCCATCAGGCTTCATGACCCTGATCTGTGTGCGCACAAGAAATTTGTCCTGGCACTAACTCTACCCTGGTCCCTTGTAACACGGACACATAGTGTGGACAACGCCACACACACAAACCCACTTTTGAACGCCGTGGGGCCAATCACCTAACTTGGTCATTCAGATCATCTGGGTTTTGAACCTGTACCCTTAGCTGATGTTTACGTTCATGTTATTCATTTGTGGTGTATTGGTCTAATGAGGAATCACTGAAAACGAGCTTGTTCGCTAACATTTGTTCTGATGTCTACTCCCGGGATATTTGATTAGTTGATTTATAATACACTTTACTGTTCGGTTGTTGATCTGGTTTTGGCTGGTATTGGAGCTTGCTGGGGACGAGATCCGTTCAATCGGAATCGCACCTTGACATGTGACAACACGCCGCCTGATGTAATAATAATAATAGTAATAATGTGTCAGCTGTACGCCGTAACGGCGTTTCGCTGCCGCGCGACCACCACCAGTCGCGCACTGGCTGAGTATACCGCGAGGACGCCCACCCCTGATGTAGCATTGGACAGATCGTTTGCTGAACTGATGCTGCTTACTTTAACTTCGTCTTACTTGCCCGTCGACCGAGTGTTTCCATTCCGTTATCCACCATGTTTATTTGACTCTAACTCCCAGGCATGTAGTCCATTCGATGAAAAGATGATGAACTGGTCGGGAGACTGACGTGCTTGGAATGTATTGTCTTCCTGAGTAAGAGCCCATTGATTGGTTGCAACAGAGTACGGACTCTGATGGACACGGTGCGCTCATAAACTCCGTGGCCGCCTTCCTTTTGTGTCCCTCCCTTTTAACTCTTGACTTATCCACCTCAGGATATTTACTTATGTTGTCTATTCATCTTGCGTTTATTTTTTCCTCATTCTGGTTGTCTTTTTGTTTATTGTTTTCTCCTGTCGGCATAACTAAGGCAACTGGATCCACCAACTTTGGTGAATGAATCACAGTTGATCAGCTGAACGCATTTTTCTCTAAGCGAGACAGCATGTTCATAATTCGCTAAACCATCCTCCACTCATTTAGTTCACCCGCGAACTAACTCTTTTTTAAACTACCGTATCCTACTCCCAATAGTTACAACGCTGTTAAAGGCACTGCGTTGGACACCTTTGCCTTTGAACTTGTTTAAGTCCTTTCTTATCATCACACTGTCAGTCGGTCTGTGGATGATTTATACCGGTTAATCATAGGGTATCTTACACTTTTGGAATTTTGATTCATTGGAGTATTCTACGAGAATCTCTTTTACCTTTGAAGTCATGTTGATTTCCAGTAGTTGTCTCCGTCAAATCGGGCTTCTATATTTTCTGTGTCGTAATCGTTGGGTTTCCGATTCGTAGACGCGGCTGATCTACGGGTCACTCCGGTTGTGATAACTTAGCCATTCACTAGTAGGTATGGAAACAACACTGCTGATTTGCGACACCTTCATTTGATCACCTAAAGAATTCTTTTCTCTCTACCGTGTTTCCCTTACCATTTTGCAGCGAGCCCCCAAACGCACAGCTTCTCAGCGATGGTCTCTGCTCCGTAGTCAACTGGCCTACCCTCAAGTATCACGGCAGTCGAGGTTCCGGAGGCACTGTTTGGCTGCGTGCTAAGCTGTTCCAATTCGTAGAAAACTATCGGCCCGCCTATTACGGCACTTGGCGCCGCCGAAGTCGTGTTGTAACCGGACGAAGACCTTTCGCACGGGACCATGCCAAATTGGACTACACAATTGACTCGGATGATGAGTGGGAGGAAGAGGAACCTGGCGAAAGTATCACCCAATCCGAAGTGAGTTCTTCTAGTTATTTTTGGGGTCTTGCAATTCTTGTGTGTTTGTGATCATTTTATCCGTTATTGTTGTTGTTGTTCCTTTTCCTTAGAATGAAGAAGAAGAAGAGAAGGAGGAGGAGGAGGAAGAGGACGATGAGGACGAGGATGACCAGTTCCTCGTTCCGCATGGTTATTTGTCCGATGATGAAGGTGTGGCTGCGGAAGACGCAGGAGAAGAGGACGCTGGTAACGAAGAAATGAAGACACTTCGGAGGCGGTTATCCGCTGTGGAATACGAAGTCGCACATCGACGTGGACTGCAGCGTTTGAAGCCCACCATGTCGGGTCCCGTGTGGTTGCCTGATCCTATTGAATCCGGTCCTTTCACTTTCTGTGCTCCAGAACTGGATGCAGACAAGGAAAATGTGGAAAATGCAAATATGCAGGATGATCCAGATGCGTTGGATAGAATGAGTGCTCAGGCAATACGATCCAACCTGGGTATTTATCGGGTAAGTTCACTCTGATGACTTGCGTATACTTCCGTGCAGTTTGAGGATAAAATCAGCGCCAACGACCACCGGCTTAGCCGCCTCATTTGAAGGCTATTGGACAGTTTTATTTTAGATCCTACTACATTTTGCCTTCCCGCTTTGAGTGCTACTTACAATGGCTACCTAACAATTCTATTCAGTTCAGACAAACACCAATGAGCCTACCAGTTTGCTTCCACTATGAAGTCGCATCTCACAATGTGAGCAATATATATCTGTATGGAGGAAAATTGGTTGATCTAGATTATGGGGCCGAAATCGTGTTGCTTTTTGACAGTCGTAAGGCGACCCAGTCTACCCTGGATAAACTATCTGGAATGCCTCCATCATTTGGTATGCGCTTCTCATTTTCAAAGTGCAAAATGCTGTTGCAGGATCACCAGCCGATTGATAATCCGTTGATTCTTGGATACGAAGAGGTAGGAGTAGTTAGCCAATTCACCTTACTTGACATCTACGTTATCAGCGATGCGTATGTGCCTGCTGAAATCCCTTCATGTATTTCGAAATCCTGTACTGCCTTGTTGAACCTACGACATCTCTAGTGTCAGAAGCCGATTCTTCTTCATCTGAGAGACCGTGTGCAATGTCCCAATGAGGACCGTCTTATTCCATGGGTGTGAGACTTGGGCTTTTCGATCTGATTATTTTATGCACCTTCTAGTCTTGAATCACTGCTGTCTAGAGAGCAGTGTTCCTCAAAGTGTGGTCCGCGGACTCCTAAGGTGGTTCCCGTATCTGACTTCACCTCTGTCACCCCAGCTCGCATTCCCGCTCCTGCGTGATTTCACTTGTCTCTATATTATCCCAACATGCGCACGACCGCTTGTGGTTACAGGTTGCTGGCGCATCATTGTAAGCTGCTATCGTACTTCGAATACTTTGTTATTGCATAGTTCATTTGCGGTATGGTCTCGCTTGCTTTTCCATAAAACACTTCCCTTGGGTATCCTATTTTGATCCTCAGGTCCACCTATGGGAGGTCACTGTCCCTATTCCCATTCGATTGGATACTCTTCCTACTCCAACCGGCCGGCGGGCTAAAAAGGAGCTACCAGAAGACGGTATGTGAATCGGCGTTCACCATACTTTATTTACTTGTCTCTACACTCCTAGTTTTCGTGTCCCTTGCCAACCGTTGCGATCTTCCTTGTGTCCGCGAGTGTACGTTATCGTGTGGCTTGTCTTTTGTATAACTGCTCTCGATGTGAATGTTGACAGGTCCCTTGCCACCACTTCGACTACTGACTTCAGCAGTTTTCGAATCGTTGCCGGGATGGATTGGATGTTTGGCTGATGGGAAGAGCTACGACACCGTATGTTTGTATTATACACACGTTTGCCTCAATTTCACACAACTGATCCATACACTAAGGGGGTGTGAGCAGGCTCCAAATATATCGCATCCGTATATTTTTTGGGATTTACATCATTGTACCCGTTAGTTAGAAGTGAGAAATGCCTCATCTATTGTGCTGTAATACAACACAACCACATAATTGTAAAAGAATGTGACAAAAGCAAAGCATTTTAAATATTGTCTTTCAAGGCATGTTTGATGTCTTGCTGGCGTCACATCTAACGAGGAGTAACGAAAGCTCGAAGCGCTATTGTTACACGGTTCGTGACTTCATTTCCCATCCCACAAACCCTAATATAGCTGCCTAGATACTTGAATTTCCGGACGTTTTCTAGCTGATCGCCACTAAGGGTCATTGCAGGGGTGAGTCCCTGCCAATCTTGCAGAAAGCTTTTGCATATCGATTGGGCAGTGCGTAACCCGAAACAACCTCCTCGTGGTGCCAGCTGGGTGGTCCGGGTTTTTCCCGTTCCAGCAAATGGTTCGGCTGCAGTGTTCCAGGACGTGGTGGGTTTTCGCCTGGTAAGCGTTCTCCCTATAAAAAGCCACAAATGTCTGTTTAACAACACTGCGACGTGGCGGATGTGACTAGCCACTAAATAAAGTCACTGCACTTTGCCCCTCCCTGAGAGGCATCAAGGGTGTGTTGGGCCCTTGGTCCTTCACGGACCGAAAGGCGTATGAACCATCTATTTGGTCACCGGCTCCCAACGGGTTGCGACGCCCTCACATCGCCCTGCTGCCTTGTAGGTTAGATTTTTGATCAAAGGCTCGGTGTAGGGCCCCCTAAGACAACCCTCTACTTCGGCCTGGGCAACCGGGTAGTATCACGCCTACTGACGAATCATGGACCACACTGCTTACTACTGCTTCTGCTATGCCTAACTTCTATGCTAACTCAACCGCTCACAGATCATCCCACCTCCCCTCCTTCATCTATGTGTTCTCTTATGTCTTCTACGGTCACCGTCACAAACGACCCACGTCTTGCAACTGATGGAATCAACAGCCAAACTCCCGGTTTTCAATCTCCTGCTATCACAACCGCCTCTCGCCCCACCGAAGCTCCAGCTCTTCTTCGACCTGGTTCTCCATTCATCCTCGCAGCGTTTAATGTTCGAACTTTAATACAGATCGGACGACAAGCATGTCTAGCCCGTACTCTTGAAACACTTTCGGTAGACATCTGTTGCCTTTCAGAGACCAGATTACAAGACTCTAGCACCGTCATCAGGATGGCTTCACCGGTAAACCCTGACGCCAAATACTGCTTGCGGCTTTCCGGAGACCCAGAAGCTGCCGCCACTGGCCAAGCTGGTGTTGGGGTTGCACTGAGTGCCAGGGCTGAATCAGCTCTGCTTGACTGGATCCCAGTCAACAGTCGGCTATGTGTAGTCAGACTACGAGGTTCATGTAACGTAAGCAGACGTCGAGACGTTAAGCGTGCCTTGTTTGTTGTCTCCGCCTACGCCCCCTACAGACTGCAGCCCGGATGCAGTTAAAGATAGATTTTACCAACAACTACATGAACTTCTGCGTTCCTCCAAAAGGACTGATATAGTCATTCTTGCCGGGGACTTGAACGCACGGGTTGGCCGCCTTCCACCAAACGAACACCACCTTGGGGATAGTTTTGGTCTCGGTGGCAGTCGATCAGACAATGGAGACAGACTGCTTGCTCTTTGCTCTGATCTTCGCTTGTATCTTTCGAGTACTAGTTTTCGGCACTCGAGGAGACACACTGTTACCTGGCGCCCGCCATCACGAACGCAAGAGTGCTCCCAGCTTGACCACATAGCAATCAGCTACAGATAGCGCGGAAGCGTAACGGACTGCCGATCGTACTGGTCAACTTATCTAGACTCCGATCACGCATTGGTTCGTGCTAAGATTTGCATGCGTTTCGGAGATCACCTAAGCGCGCTCTCTACCGACCGGACGTCGCAAATCTACAAAACGTTGCGATTTTAACCAGGTACCGAGCCTCACTGTGAATCTTGCTTGTCTCAACTATTGACGGTGATCTCGATTCGCAGTGGGCGCATATCAAAGATGCCTTAGTTTCTGCCAGTATCAACACTTATGGAATTTTGAAAAGCACGGTAAGAAGACGAAAACTGGTAGATGCATGCATTTCGTATTGTCTCCTCAGTACCAATAACAATAACCGGTATGCAACTATATACTTAAATATGTGTGTGACCGAATAAGCATAAGGTGAAAAATGAATGACGGAAGTTCCACACCTATGTCCACGGCAGTCTTAAGCTGATAAATAATTGCTTTTGAACACACAGGGCCGACTTCATCCGGCTTATCGCAACCGCCTCGGCGAAACGAATTACCCGTCACCCACCGAAGCATTGGATTTCCGCCGTCTCCTTGTCGCTGGTGGACAAACGCCGCTTGCTTCCATCGGATTCCAGACACAGTGACGAACGCCAATACCTTGGTCGAGAGTTGCGCAGGAGTCTGCAAATGGACCGCGAAGCTTGGTGGTGTGAACGTGCTAGGGACATGGAGCTTGCTAGTCTCTCTGGTAATACCAGAAAATTTTTCCTTCTCATTCGAGTCATCGAAGTTGTTCAATCTGGTATAAGTGAAACAGTATGCGAAGAGGCACCTTAATCACCAATCTTCAACGACAGATGGAGCGATGGACCGAACATTTTGGCTTGCAGTTTTGTTGGCCCCCAGCTCCATCTGCTACTTCTGGCGCTCGCGCTGGGGCCGAGTGGTCTGCTCCCACAGATCCTCCCTCTTACCAGCAACTCGAGCAGGAGCTCCGGCACATGAAGCGGTATAAAGCTCCCGGTCCTGATGGTCTTCCTCCAGCTCTATTTAAAGATGATTGCGCTTTGCTGGTTCGAGAACTCACTGCTTTGTTCTCGAAAATTTGGTCGAGAGAGAAAGTTCCATCATTTTGGAGTGAATCGATAGTCGTCCCCATCTTCAGAAAGGATTTGCGCACAGTCTGCTCCAACTACAGAGGCATAAGCTTAGTCCCCGTCGTTTGCAAGCTGCTGGTGCCCATCATACTTCGCAGGCTATCCCCAACGCGCGAATCGTTGCAACGAGAAGAACAAGCTGGGTTTCGTCCTGGTCGCGGCTGCATCGATCAAATCTTCACACTCCGCTAGATCCTCGAGCTCCGCCATGTGTATCAGAGGCCAACGATTGCTGTGTTCCTGGATATCCGTGCAGCCTTCGATTCTGTCAATCGTACGATACTGTGGCACTACATACTGAGGAATGGTGTCCCCGAAAAGTTCGTCTTCATACTGCGCGCCCTCTATAGTCTGACCTCGGACAGGGTTAGAGCTTATGGCAAGCTTTCGCCTACCTTTGTGGTCTCCAGTGGAGTTCGACAAGGTTGTTCTATCTCTCCGTTCCTATTCAACTTTGCCATTGAGGATGTCCTGAAGAACGCTCTGTACGATTCGTTGAACGCTGGCGTTGAGCTCCTCCCAGGTAGTCGAGTTGTTGACTTGGATTATGCTGATGATATCATCTTGCTGGGTGACGATCCACATGTCGTCCAACTTGCACTAAACCGCTTGGCGATTGAAGCATCAAAGTATGGTATGTACTTTTCGCGATCGAAATGCAAGGCTCTCTTCCAAGACTGGCAGGTGCCTTTGCCTGCACTCACTCTTGGTGATGAGACACTAGAGGTTGTGGAGAGTTCTGTCTACTTGGGAAGTTGCATCACTGCTGGCGGGGATGTTGGAGACAAGATATCGATGCACATCTCGATCATATGTCTTGCTTTTTCTAGGCTATGGCACTTGTGGCGTCGCCACGACATTCGTCTCTCCATCAAAAGGTGGGTCTATTGTGCAATTGTTCGTGCTGTACTGTTGTACGGATGTGTGACCTGGCCCATTCGTAAAGTTGACTTGCGCAGGCTATCCGTCTTCGAGCGTCGCTGTCTGCGGTCCATTGCCCGTGTGTGGTGGCAGCACCACGTAAGCAATGTGTAAGTTAGGCAGCGTGTCTTGGGACGTGGAAGCCACTCGCTCGAGTAGCTCGTCTCACTGCATCAACTGCGGTGGTTGGGACACGTATTGCGCATGCCTGTCCAGCGTTACCCGCATCATGCGTTGTTTGCACTTGCTGGACAGGGCTGGAAGAGACGGTCTGGTGGACAGCCTACAACATGGAGAATCCGCATGAAAAAGCTGACGAAACAGTTGGCTTCGGCCGGTTGTTGTCGACTCTCTGGTTAGGGTCCGAGAGATGCGGATACTTGCTGGCTGAAGAACTTGGAAATCATGGCTCAAGATCGATGTCAATGGCGGACGTGTGCATCGGTGTGTTGCGGTGTCCCTTCTTCCTCCCCCTAAAAAAGAACAAACTGAAAAAATATTTCAAAAACTGTGAGTGATAAACTAGACAAAAAAGCTTTTGTTGTTGTTGCTCTTTTCTTATTATTCATACTGTCTTCCTACTCAATCATGATTCCGATGGCCCAATATCTGTCCCAGATATGGTTGGCGGCATCTGGTTTCAGATTTGCCTGTCACTGTGGCAAGCCACAGGACCCCTGCGCCTACAGAGGGACCATGGATGACTTGCGCTGCACCACCCACTGCTCCAACCACACACCCCATATCCACTGTAAACCCGAAGGAATAAGACCGGGAGGCATGCGGATGGCAGCCACGTTTCATCAACGGAGCCGGCCCACACTCCTTCACAGGC